CATTATGTGTCCAGGTAATAAATAATTAATTAATTATTATATTTATACTAAACTTTACTGGAGTATTGAGAGCTGATGCTGAAAGCTAATCTCTAGATCAGTGTTTCCCAACCCAGTCCTTGGGGAACCTAGGACAGTATATGTTTTTGCTCCACCTGCTCCCAGCCAATCAGGAACACTGAATACCTGGTACAAATGTGCTGTGTCCTTTATCTGCAGACTGCACTTGCTGATTTCATAGATTACTTCCTCCTCTAGTTCAGGTTGAATTTTTTTTTTATTTTGCTCAAATAAAAATATAGTTAACAGTTATTTTTTTACTTAGGTAAAAGTGAAATTACTTCTAAAAAAACATACTTAAGTAAAAGTTGCTTTTTTAAAATGTTAAAGTAAAATGTAACTAGTTAATTTTTTATTTAGTATAGTATAGTAACATTTCTCTTTGTGTAAGGTATTTGGATGAGACTTTTCCCCTATACATTGGCTACACGTTGGATCCATGTACACATCCATGTGTTGTAAATTTGAATTGAATTTTAAGTTAATTTAGCAATGGATTTATTAGTAAGCTCAAAGGATCTGGATAGCATTTTGTCCACTAAGTTTTTATTTAGTCACTGTAGATTGAAAGATATTGTGATGCCCTGCTCGTCCGATCCTCCTTTGTGCCACACCCCCTCATTTACCTCGTGTGAAACCTTGATCGTTATCAGCTGTTGCGTGTTATTTCTGATTAGTCCTATGTATTTTAGTCCGTGTCTGAGTCCGTTTCCCTAGGTGTGTCATTGAAGTCTCTTGGTGTTATGCTACTTGTTCATGTTTGCTGGATGTCTCTGCTCCCCGTCTCCATTAAAACCCATATTCCTAAGTCCTATGCGTCCCTCTCCTTCTTCTGTGTTCCGCGCACCACGTCAGGATGTGACAGAATGACAGACCTCCAAAAGAAGATGCCTCGCCTCATGGAGGATGAATACATGTCCCTCGTAGATGAGGTGATATTTTGGCTAACCCAGCCCGAGATCCAGAAGGATCCCGCGGCTCACAGGTTAGCGTACCGAAGCCGGGATATCCTGGAAGGGATGTCCCTACCCGGCGAAAACCTCCGGTGGCTTTGAGAGATAGCGGCTGCAGCGATGTAGCGGCAGGTAAACATTGACAGTGGGCTACCATACAGCCCGTTACTCGGAGCGCCCCGAAGTTCATCGAAAACCAGGGGAAGGAGAAAACGGCATGGTCTCCAAGAGCAGGAAGACACACCAGGGATCTTCCAAGGGGCTCCCCAGCTCTCCGCTGTTTCCCCTGCCAGGTGTCAGACAACACCCCTTCCTATTCTCGACCCGGCAGTGTTCACCCCTGATGTCACCCGCGCCGCTTCGCACAAACGGGTGCCCGAAGCCCGCATCGACGCCGCCATGTAGCCTAGGAGTGTGACGCACCTGCCCACTCCTTTGCTGCCAGAACCGGCAGCTCACCCCTTTGCAAGGATGTACGTGGCTCTTAAAGGGGCCAGGTCAGTAAGGGATGCAATCCCCTCACTGTTCCTGATCCGCCTGACCTGCTTGTTCCTGATCCACCTGACCTGTTTGTTCCTAATCCACCTGACCTGTCTGTTCCTGAGGTTCCGGTCCCCGTGGTGCATGCTGACGCACCGCCCACAGAGGCTCCCCGTTCTCCCCCACCTTTCTCCTTCATGCCTCCTACTGTATGTCTGCCCTTCGTCCCTTTGTTTTTCTTACGTTCACTCCTGGTACCTCTGTTCCTCCAGTTGGTGTTCCTCTGGTGTCTCCTATTTTGGTGTGCCTGTCTGCGTTTCCCATTCTTTGTCAGGTGTTGTCCTGGTTCCTACCATTGTGCTTGTTCTATGTGTCGGTCCTGTTCCCGCTACCCCGGTAATGGTCTTGTCTTGTTTTCCAGGTCCTGTATTCCCGGTGTCGTCTTGTGCGTCGCTCCCCTTGGGGCGTGCCCGGAGTTCAATCGATTAATATTCAATTAAATTCAATTTATTTTTATTTAGCGCCATTCACAACAGAATGGGAAAAAGGAAGGAAAGAAGTTAAAGAAAGAAAGCCAGAGGGCAACGGAGGAGAGGAACCAAAAACTCCTAAGTGAGGAGAAAAAAAACCTCTGGCGTTACAAGGTCAACTGGCTGCCCAACCCCTTGGGCATACTAACATTACTGAAAACAGAAAAGAGTGAACATGCTTGCTAAAAGCTGCGATTAAGGATCAAGACAAAGTCCACCAATAAGTCTGTTCTCCACACTGGCCTGTGTAGGGCGGCACTGAAG